TATATATATAAAAGATTTGCTGCACATACATTAGTAAATAACTTTAAAATTAAAATAAAAGCCAAAAAATTACGCACACAAAAAATAAAAAAAAATATATATATATACATTAGAATTAAAGTACACGGATAAGAGAGTTAAATGAGTCTGATTTTTTTATTACCTTTCTTGGGACGAGAAATTCCAGAATTTGTAGTATTATATAGCACAATGATACTACAAGCAAGTAGGCTAATACACCGCTTTGTATTTGACTAGCTAATCGTTGTCCTAGATTTCTCTTTGCTTCACGTTTTATTAAATTATATATTATTTCCGTACGTTTGGTAATGTTGAACCAATTATAATATAAACCTATTCTCCTATGTGTCTCGAAAGGGCATCCGATATTGCCCTTTTTGTAATCCATTATAGCCATCTCCAATCCTTCAATTAATGCAGGTACAGTAGGTTCCACGAGGTAAATCAGATCCGGCGGCAAAACTTCCGGAATACCTCCAACTTTCGTTGACACTACTTGCAAACTATAAAATAATTTGTTATTGTATATTCATTTTCGTTAAACAATTTTGTTAGTAGAAGAATATAATTATTATTTGTTAAAACAATTAGATTCAAAATAAGACTCAAATTAATTTTTCAGGTATCATAAATATGAAATAAGACGGCAAAGTGCATTACACCGTAGCTTACCCACAAGAGGCTGCTTCTACAATAGCCATACAGTAAGCCTCTGTCAAGCTCGTATTTAGGAAAATATGACCCTTATTCAGAACGTGTCTGACTTGAGAGTGCTCCAAACTGCCTAATAAAGTTACTCTATGTTGCAACAAATTTCTTTCCCGCACCTCTTCTATGAGCCATCTTTTCGGACCGTCTCCGCCAATTAAAAATTGTACATTTTTGTGACGTAAACAGATCTCAGGTATTATATGGGCTAGAAGGTCAACGCCCTTCCTATGCACTAATCGCGATACTATTACTACGGTAACTGAAAATCATGATTATAATTATGACAATCGGAATGATACCTTGCTAATACAGGCAACTATAGATTTCGGAAGCTAAACTTACTAAAATCGTTATTCCGTTTACTGATATCGGGTGTAAATAATGTGGTATCAACTGCATTTGGGATAACCGATACTTTCTCCTTTTGCACTTTAGCTCGTAATACTGTATTTTCCTTTCCGGTATGAGACACGCATATGCAATGATCGCAATCAACTAGCGATATTTCGAGAAATTTATTTGTCAGAATAGCGGACGCATCCGCAAAACCAAAAAGAGAATGATCCGTAAAAACAGTCTGCAAAAACACAGCGTTAGTCATTTTATACTACTTGAGTCTTATCAGTGGATCAATCAAGGCTTACTTTTAGTCCCATTAATCTACCAATCAACATCCCTTCGTGGGCTAAAGCAGAGAATGCAGAATGGCCGTGTATTATCTGTATCTCCTCTCTTATGAAGATATACCTAATGAGTGGAAGAGAGCATACCATCGTTGGAAGAACACATTGGTTATAGAAAACCTTGACAGGGATATAATATACCTTAAATAACACAAGGATATAAGAACAAAAAACAACATAAAGGAGTTTAAAGAGATAATTGAATAATGGTGATTTCATTCACTTGCATTATATTAATAATAAATCCGATTAGACATACAAATGTGCACTGTTGCATATTAAAGTCATACTATTTTGAGTATAAAAATGAAATGCAAATATTTTGAATTATGAAAAATATATTTTACCTAACAGCATAATAAAGTATATTAAAAATTTTAAGTTAATTTATTCGTTTAATTATCAGTTTATCTAAGTATGAAAAAATAACTAAAATAGATAATTTCTAGCAAATACTGCAATATTGATGTGTATTGCATCTAATCATATAGATGACAGATAGAATTTAGATTTATACTATAATTCTATGTGTATGATACATTAATTTTAATCAGATACAAAAAAACAGTTATAATTCTAGTTGGAGCAGCAAAATATTTCTTGGAGTGTATATTTATATTATATAAACACACATTTTTACATGAATTTGTATACAATGGCTTTAATATGTATATTAGTGTGCATTAATAGAATTTGCTGTAAATTAATACATTAAAGGCTACTTTATATAAAGTATCTAAATACAATGATACAATCAACATTAGCAATGATATAATCAACATTAGCAATGAGATATATATGATTGAATATTAATTATTCGAAATATTTATACATTATGCTTTTACATTTAATTTCATATAGAGTACTACAGCAGTTTTTAGTATGCATTAATGTATAATGCAAGTGAATTCGTTATAAGAGTGAAACATACTTTCAGACCGTTTGTCATATATCTTATTCCTACTCTATCTCCATAGGAATGGGTGAGTATTACCACCTTGTGCCCATGCTCCAGAAGACATTGAGAAAGATTGAAGATATGCTCTTCTACACCGCCCATGTTTGGATAGAAGAAATCCGAGACCATGCTGTTTGAAACAGTATATTATATATATGTGAATATAATAAAATAGATATATGTTCATAAATAATGTATGTGTGAGTGAGTGAGTGAGTGAGTGAGTGAGTGAGTT